TAGGGGCTCCTGTCCTTCAGCAGAATGGCCTCTGTCCCTAACGTAGTTTGTATGAGGTGCACGTGCTGTACCCACTGCTTGCCCTTCAGTGCTGCCATTGTGCAGTCACTGTGGGTCCTGGCATCTTGAGTGGTCAGTACCTGTCTTCTCACATCAAATCCTGACTTGCCCATCTTTGTGGTGCTCTCTTCATCAGTTCAGGTTATGGACACCCTTGCTGTCCCAGAGATGCTCGTGCTCCTCTGGCTATGGAAGCCTCTTGTTTTGTCTCTGACTTCCTGTCTGCCAAGATACACTCCCTTACCTGTAGCTCATCTTGGCCTTTTCTAGCTTCATTATGGTGGGCACTGCTGCCCTCTGACCAGCTATACTTCTGAAGACTGAGTAGTCGAAAATCTGTGGGCTGTTTGTGTGCCGGTTTGTGTGTGTGTGTGTGTGTGTGTGTGCGCGCGCGCGCGTGCGTGTGCCAGAGGTCATTGGGGATCTTCATTAGTTCTTCTCCACCTTACCCTTTGAAGCAGGGTCTCTCAGTGAACCTGGCAGCTTGTTGATCTGTGTAGACCAGATGGCCAGGGGACCAAGGGTACTCCTGTCTCTTCCTCTGTACAAGGATCATAGGCACACGCTAGCACACCGAGAATCCAAACTTCACCAACCTTGTCTCTGTTCCTTTTCTTTTTAAGTCACAATTGAGCGCTGAGTTTATAGGCATTAGCCACCATACTTGTTTCTTAGGTTTTTAATCTGGGGTGTCAAGGGACAGATGAGAAGATAGCCTTTGCCTTCAGTTTTCTGCTTAGTAGGAAACGTTGAAGCTGGCAGGGGTTTAGAGAATCTGGAAGCTGGGATTCACCATAAGGAAAAAGTATATGGCTGGGTTAGGTAGACGCAGGTCAGCGGGCCTCTGAGGACACGGATTTACACAATACCTCAGGCAGAAGAGCGCCAAGACAACCCTGTCGGCTGCCTCTGCAGCCTGGATGGGAGGCACAGGGCTAGCCAGAGGCCGACTCTGCCTCTGCCTCCCTTCCCCCTCATCTCCAGTTCAGGTCTACTTTAGCATTTAAGAGTTTGTGGCTGAGGGAAATTTTGAGAGGCATATTGAGGGGACATGTGGAAACCCTAGTAAGAGTAGAGCATCAGAGAGTAGAACTCACAATAGATGGTGTGGTGGTGCACACCTGTATTCCCAGTGTTTGGGAGGTTGAGGCAGGAGGATTTTGAGTTCAAAGACAGCCTAGGCTTTTTTATACCTAAGGCAAGACAAATGGGAAGGGAAGAAGTACCGATTTAGAAGACAGGGATCAAGTTTCTAAGAAAGAGAAACCTCAGAATTTGTCTGAGAGATTGTGTCATGTTGGGAGAGTCCTGGGTATTTGAATCTTATCTCTCTGATGAGACTGCAAAGCCAGCTTCAGGCTGTCCCAGCAATGTCAACTGCCCTGGCCATGCGAGGAGCCCCACAGGAAGTCTCAGAGATTCTTATCAAAAGAAGGTCCCGTAAGAACGTTGCTGTGCCCACAGCTCTATGGCTTGATGGAACTAGGGAAGGGGTTCTGAGGGGAACTGCCACAGGCAGGAGGCAGCTGCTGTGAGGACAGCACATGCCTTTCCTAGGACTGCTGCTGGAAGGTGTAGGTTCCCAGGGACCGTTGTCCCAGTGCAGTTCACAGAAGCTCCCAGGCTGGCCCCAGAGTCTGCAACCGGGAACTTGAAAAGGTTTGTTTTATAGCTATAGCAATGACCTGCTAAAACCTACGGGCCTGCTGTGATTGTGAGATCAAGGCTCTGGTGTCCCTTTTGGCATCAGTAAAGAGTTAGTTGTGTGTGTGTGTGTGTGTGTGTGTGTGTGTGTGTGTGTGTGTGTGTATGTATATGTATGTATATATATGTGTGTGTGTGTATATATATATATATATGTGTGTGTGTGTGTGTGTGTGTGTATGTATATATATATATGGGCAGAAGGTTAGGGGCCAGAGCGCAAACAGGAAAGCCATTGTGAGGGACAGTCACTTTCTGCCTTCCCCATTTATTGAACATGGAAGGGGAACAAGGAACAGTGAGTGTTCCAGTACTCCCAAGATGCTCATTCTCCTAGTGAATGACCTCATTCAACCAGCAGGAGCTGCTGCTGTGCACCAGCCATCCTTCTAGACTCTAGGACCCAGGCACGACAGAGCTACGGTTATGCCCACTGGATATTTCCTTCTCAGATAAGGTGACACTTGAGAAAGGCCTGGAGGAGCTGTGTTTGGGAAGTGATTAGGTCAAGGGGGTAGAACCCTTTGGATGGGATTAGTGACCTTATAAGAGACCAAGGAGCCCACTTGCACACTGTTAGGAGGTACTGTCTGTGGGCCAGACAATGCCAACCAGATCTTAATCTGCCTTGTTTTTGGCCCCAGCCTGCAGAACACTTGTGTTTAAAAGCCACTGTGCTGTTTGGATTTAGCAGCCCACAGACAGAATAGCTTTGCCTTTTCTTCTAAGATGGAAAGTTTTAGAGAAGAGGAGGAACCCGGCCACAACTTAGAGGTCAGGAACTGAAGAAAAACATTTCAGAGGGGCCACTTCATGAAGGTTCTGGATACTTGTGAGACAGGCCTAGCAAGGTGTGGCAGACTCAAGGACCATGCACAGCATCTGTGTTTGCAAGGTCAGAACCAATTCAGGAATGGAGCTGACTTGCTGATCCTTTTAGGAATAAACTGCAGAGAGTCAAGGAGAAATGGTTAGCTAAGTCTTGCTTCCTTCATTTTTTGGATCTGGATAGGAACTATTGGATTAGTGGTTTGTTTGTTTATACAATTGTCCGTTAAATTTATTTAAACTGAAGATTTAAAGGGCTGGGTTTGATGGTACCCACTTGTAATATCAGCACTTACAAGACTGAGGCAGGAAGATTACTATAAATTCAGAGCCAGCCTAGGCTTTATACTAAGTACCAGGATAGCCCTGGTTATATAGGGAGATCCTGCCTCTAAAAACAAAAATCAGGGCAGTGGTGGAGTACACCTTTAATCCCAGAAATTGGGAGGCAGAGGCAGGTGAATCTCTGTGAGTTTGAGGCCAGCCTGGTCTGCAGATTGAGTTCCAGGACAGCCAGGGCTATACAAAGAAACTCTGTCTCAAAAAAGAAGTTAAAAAAAAAAAAAAGAAAGAAAAGAAAAGAAACAACAAAAACTAACCAGACAATGAGATCTAACTGAAGATAAGCTTATTTACATTATCTTTTAAAAAGATGAAGGAAAATATGCTATGGGATAAAAGTGTTAATTCTGAGGATTATAACCTGCATTTTTTCAGAAGCCTGGGCAGGATGAAACGGCCCTTGTGATCTACATTTATGGTTTTGCCATCTGTGACCTCAGTTTATCTGAGCAAAGGCTACAGACCCAGGTCCCTAAGTGCTAGCTGTGGCAGGGAGAGTCCTGCTTTCCCTACCAGCTGTTTGCGCTTCGCATGAGGCTAGGTCCAAGGTGCCTAGGTGCTATGTGGCACTGTGACTGGCTCTCCTGTGTGGGCACATTCTTCAGTGATGAGCCAGCAGTTATCAGTGTGTGTCTCTTAAACGCAAAAATGAACTCTAAGGGTTGTTTATCAAAGGAAGTTCAATCCCCACTCTATCACAGTGATAGTCTGTATCAGGGTTAACAGTGTACTTAGCAAAATTCCTTAGCAACAGTACACATTTGGGGCTGCTAAATTGTCACAGCCCTGATGGTGTTTATGGTGTTCCTGGTGTTGTAAGGAAGTGGGTGCAAGTTGGCAGATGGGAGATGAGTCAGGGGCCTGGGCTTTTCCTGCCCAAGAGATTTGACTGGATGGGAGGTCAGGCTGGAGACAGACTCACACAGGAGTGGTACATGGTACAGATAGATTTGTTGCTTCTGCAGAGCGAGCCTTGGAATGCATTGTTCCATAGTTATCTGGCCACGTGGGAGAAGTTTTAAGGCAGACCTGCAGACTGCATCAGAGGTGTGATGCTAACGACTGCCTTGTAGACTTGCTCCTTCCCAGTCTGCACCTTCGGTTCCTAAGGGAGCCAGGCTCTGTCGCCGGGTGATGTTGGCCCACTCGCCTTTGCCTTAGGCTTTCCTTGGGTCATATAGGCACTTTGGGTGAAGTAGTGAAGGCAGAAAGGAGGGCACTAGTAGCACCAAACCCCAGTGTGGCTCCCTCAGTCTCTGTGCCCTGGAAGGGGATGGTTCTGAGTATTCTTTGGAGACATGTATACTATTCCTCTAATGGGCACTTTCATGTCTGCTGAGTGGGAACACAGTCACAACTTTGTTCCCAGGGCGGGAGCCTGTGGTAAAGTCACCATATTTTTGGAATGAGCACAGGGCAAATAATGTCCACACATCATTTCCTTTGACTAATCTTTGTGGTCCCAGTCCTGATGTGTCTTCTCAAATTCATTATGTTTTTTTGTTGAAGTTGAGATTTTTAAATTCAGGACCCAGATGGGACAGAAGGTGAGCTTCCATAGCCTGCTTTACTAAACCGTGTGTCATTGCTCTGGATTGTGGTGGCAGCAGATTCATTAGAAAAGCAGATTGCACCCTGACTCATCTGCCTGTCTGAGCTCTGCAGTCGGCTGCTCTGGGCTCACCGGACAGTGCATGCACACTGTCTGCCCTACACACCAGGGGCTATGGATGTCTGGCTCAGGCCATGGAAAACCCTCAGAGGAGACAGCCCATTGTGGGGTAGGAGCTTTGTCGTGGAATTTTCTGGCCTTCATCCGATGTAACCTCGTGTACTTCCTTTTGGGGGAAGGGTGCGGTGGCCTGCCCTCTATAGGACCTGTGTGTTTTGTACCAGGACAGGAGGTCCTTGTGCTGCCTGAGGGGAGTGTGGTGGGCAGGTGAGCTTATCTGCCTTTTATTTGGCAGCATGCTTCTGGCATCCCTGTCCAAGGAGGATAGCAGAACTGTGGCTGTAATGGCCATGCCTGCTCACTCTGGTCCTGATCCTTCTTTCTCATATTACAGCAGAGGAAGTCCTACCTGGAGAGGAGTGTCAAGGAAGCTGAAGACAACATCCGAGAGATGCTGATGGCACGGAGGGCGCAGTAGGAGCTCTGGCAAAGTCCTCCCCTCCTGATCCCCTCCATCCTGTCAGGCAGGGGCTGTGCAGGGTGCTGGCCTCCCTCTGCACCTTGAGCCCCCTTCAGGCCTGGCCTGAATATCTGCCCCTCCTGCCCAGGACACTGCTTTCTGTGAGGGCAAGCCAGGAGCTGTCAATAGAGGGAAGACTAGAGGGCAGGTGGAGAAGGCTGCCCAAGCATGTCGATAGGCATGTGGGTTAGACCAATAAAAGGCTACTACATCTTGCTCTGTGACATCTGCTTTTCTCTGGCTGAGGAGAATGAGAGGCAAGTGTCTTCCTCAGCTCTTGTCCCTTTTCTCTTCCCTTTCTGGTGCTTTGACAGGTAGCTTATGGGCCTCTATGTAGTGCATAGGAGGAAGGAGAAAGCTAATAGATGAACAGTCCTGTTTTCTCCTCAAATTCCCAGACCAAGTTCAATAGCAAGCAGCATCTCCAAGGCTCTGTCTCTTGTCTGGCCATGGTGGGCCAGTGCCAGTGGGGGGGCGTATGGGGGAGGGAGGGGAAGGTTGTTGGGGAAATGGCTTACACATTCTCAGGACAGCTCATTCACTGTCTAGTTTTGAGGAATTTTATTGCAGGTCAGTTAAACACAACAGTTACTAAAAATTATATATGTGTAAACTTAAATATTTAGAACAAAAACAGTAAACATTCAAAACTCATCCTTTCCTATTGCCCCGCACTTGGCCACTCGGGGGCTCGGGATTACAGAGTCCAGGCCGGTGTTACTATTTGGTGGTGGGCTTCATGCCTCAATAAATTGGGAGTATTGATCCAGTATATAAAGATATAAACTTGTGGGTTGTTTCTCTGAGATGTGGTCTTATCTCACCCAGTCTAGCGTCATACTCACTGTTTAGCCAAAGGTAACCTTCACTTCCTAAGTGCTGGAAGCACATCTCCCCTCCACCCCACCCTGCTTCCCACCCTCCTGCTACGTGCTCCCAGCTGCCCTGGTGCTCTGAAGCCAAGGAAACTTGTTTTTTTTTTTTTTTTTTTACAGCTTAGCGACACCCTGTGGCCAAATTGAGATGAACAGGTTAGTTAACTAGTTTAAGAGGGTGTGGAAGCAGGGTGTGACTGACTGCGGACTCCTGGAGAGCAGCCTTGGGCAGCCAGCCAGTCACCCAGAAGTCCCTTTCCCAAGGCCTAGGCAAAGGAGAGTCTGAACTGTGTTGGTGAGCACACCTATCTAAGCCGTCTTTGAAGAGGTAGATGGAAGAAAAGTTCCTCTTTGTGGATGGACAGTGGTCACAGCTGACCTGCTCACCTCGTACAAGCTCTGGTGGATGGGATACGACAGAGTTCAGCCCCAGGGTGGTTTAAATTTTATGGAATAAATTCAGACAGCAGGTTTTGGACAGATTTATTGAAACATACAGGGTGTGAGCAGAGAAATCTAGGGGTGTGTCACATATTGCCATTACCTTGAGTGTATAATTTAAACATTATAAATATATATTTCATAACTAAGCCTTTGGCCAAAAAAAGTAAAATTATTTAGCACATTTGTTAAGGATCAGTAAGAAATGACTTTTGAACATTAAAAAGATCAAGTCACTGAATTAAACAGCAGTAACCCTTACTAATCTAAAACTCTGTAGACTGAAGGTAGAGGTGTCTGTCTGCGCAGAGCTAGCCACTTATTACAGCAATCAGAAGAGATGGGAGGTGGCACAGAGCAGCCAAGCGGGAGAGCTGGGTTCATCAGGTGAGCATGTCCCAAAGGCAGCAGCAACAGAGAGCAGTCCAGCAGGCCGTGAGGCAGGTGGATGTGCCCAGGTCGTCTCTTCTTTGGTCTTCCACTACATACACTGGAGACAGGAGACAGAAGGAAAGGGAGAGTGAGAAGGACTGGGCATAAACCTTAGGCCCTGCAGTTACCTCCAGCACCAGAGCAGAGAGGTCTGCAGTATGCTTCTCCTGCCCTTGCCAAGGGTGCATAAAGGGTGACTGGGCTCCTCCGCTCCTTTCCTGCCTTCCAACACTCAAGAGGACAACATTCTTCCTCCTAGGAATGAACACCAGGGACACTACAGAATGACCCTAAGCCAAGGCAGTGAAGCACATGGGTCCTCGAAGCTGATAAGACACGAAGTTGTGGGGAGGGTCATTCCTTTAGATTTGGCTAACCAGCAGAATTCATATCTGTGCCTTAAAGGAATTGGGGATTAAAAACAAAACTTGAGTGCTAAGTAGCAAACTAGACTAAAGCAAGCAGGAAGGGCAGCCAGGTCAAGTGGGGCAGGCGGCTGGAGGCCTTCAGAATGGAGTGGGAAATCCAAGCCTATACTGTGTACATCCCAGTATCTCTTCCCTTAGGGGCCTATTCTAAATGGTGGGTAGCAGGTGGCAGCTACTTCTTTAATCTCAGAAGTTATCAAATCCATAAGCGGTAAGGACTTCAGACTTACAAAACAAGGAATATGTAGATTGATGAATTGGACCAGTTCTCCAGCAGCTGGCCTTCAAGTTCTAGCTTTGTATTTTCTGTTTTTATACTCTGGCCACTGGAGCTGGTATAGGAGAGAGTGGCACAGATTTGATGCTAGATCACTCGGCCCCACACTCTCCAGGTAAGCTACCATACCATCCATTGGGTGGTTGCTCACAATGCCAAGACTTAGTCGAAAGCATATCATACAGTGTCATCCAACCCTCTACCTCTTTGAGGGACCGGCGGGGGGCACCAGGCATAGGACCTTCTCTCCTGTGAGAACCATTGAACCCCGAGCTTTCCTACCCACTGCTTTCTTGTTTTCAAGTGAACCAAAGCAGAAGTGGGCCCCAGAACAAGTCTGAAGGAAGTCCTTCCAGATGCCTGCATGGCTTCGGGCCTGAAGATGGTAAATCTTCCAGCAGTGCCTCCTAGAGGGGAAGGCCTTGCATTTCCAGAGGTGTCTCCCGTGCCTGACTAGCAAGGCCTTCTGTCCACTGTCCCTGTCACCTCTGTGAGGGAATCTGCCTCAGAATTCTCCCACCTTCCCGGTATCGAGTCAGTCTTGTGTTCTGTGCTCATGGGGACTTACTGAAGCTGAGCTGGGGACCTGGCAAGCGCTGCAGCAGCAGCAGCAGAGATGGCTCCAGCCAGTGTCCACACCAGGTCAGATGGATGCTTTCTAGAGCCAAAGCAGAGTGTGCGTCCTGCTGAGTATCTTTGTAAGTTGTGCTAGCTCTTTGAGATTGTGTGTGTCCCTCTTTCTTAAGAAAGAAAGAAAGAAAGAAAGAAAGAAAGAAAGAAAGAAAGAAAGAAAGAAAGAAAGAAAGTGGGGGGCTGGGTGTGAAAAGCACTGGGTAGGAATGGGAGCAGGCTGTACCTGGCCTGGAAAGGTTCTCAACTGTAGAGCTTGCTCAGTTTGAGATCATCCCTGGACATCAAGCGCCCTCCTGTGGCCAGACGTGAGACATAGGCCAGTTCCTGGGTCCTGTGCTTAACATTCACATCAACCAAAGCACTAATGACTAGGGACTGAGATCAACCATTAGTAGGGGCCTCTACGGGTCCCAGGCAAGAAGGGTCTGCAGGGGCTCTATTTCTAATGACCAGGCTGGGGTGACCCTCCCTCCCCCTTAAACCACCTGCCAGTTTTCTTAGCCTCAGCCTGGTGTGGGGTCTACTCAGGGACCTAGACCTTCACAATCTGGGTGCAAATGCAAAAACTGGCAGTGGGGTGGCCTAAAGGCCCGGCAAGGTCAGAATGGTCAGAGTGGCCCCAGAAGCCCTGGGTGCAGAGCAAGTGCGGGAAGACTCCGACTGCTAAAGGAAGGGCAGGCACCCACTTCTTGCTCTTATGCTAGAAGAAAGGTAAACAGGCCATGCTAGGAGGCACAGTGTCCTGTGACCAAGTGTCTGCTCACCAATCCCTGACACACACACCACACCAGAAGTCCTTGGTCCCAGGCTAGCCTACCACCTCATAGTTGTCATTTAGGAGGGCAAGCGATGGACAGGTGGGACAGGGCAGGAATGAGTCACGAGAATGTGAGCAGAGGTCTTCTCAGGTGATTGCCTGACATCTGAAACTTCACTTGCTCTGAGCTGGCCTTCTGAATGATTCATTAGAGACTCTGGGCTGCTGCTGCTGCTGTCCTCATGTACGCTTGTGTACGCTGGACAGACTGTGCCGAGGACAGGCGCTCAGAGTTCCGACACTGTGGGCCACTTCTCCAAGGAACAAGGACCTTCAACAAGTGACACTACTACACCTTGAAGTGTCATGTCCCAGACCAATGACAGGCTTGGGGTGGGGGTGTCCTCAATTGTAGGGACCACACTGGTGTAGTCTCGGTTGTCATCTCCATACAGGAGGCATCTAGACAAACAGAAGGCAGCTAACTAGCCTAGCCTTCCAGAGGTGACAGAAGAGGCCAGAATGCCTTTCTACTGCGTAGACCAAGAGGCAAGTAAAAGGGGAAATCTGAAACATTTTCATTTATAAATAGAACCTTAAGACAGCACAGGATGGCTTGCTCCCCTCGTGCGGGCAGGGGAGGACATAGAGCTGATCTGCCTCACCTTCTGGAGGGTATGCATGCCAGTGACATCATTGCTGTGAGCACAAAGGTGCCCTGTTGCTGAGATGCTCACAGGCACCTGCTTAGTCCCTAAGCGGCAAGTATGTGGGGGAGGTGGGAGTGTGCATAGGAATGGTGGGGACAGACCCAGCTTCATCCTCCAGGGCTCAGCTGGACTCCAAAGGCTGAGGATGGGGGGGCGGGGCTAGGAGACCTTTCACACCCTTCTTCCTCTCCCATAGGATATAGGGCTGTCAGGACTTGGCACGGCCCCAGCCAGGTTCTGTGGCCACAGCTACCTTTGCCTGCTGAGCCTGGCTGTTCCCAGCCCAACACCCTCAAAGCTTCAGTTCTGGTCTTTTCTATGAAACCGAGTCAGGAGAAACTAGGTCTCCTACACTGCTACCCTTCTCAGTGTCACAAGATACTGAGGTAGAACAGACTGGGAGCC